TTATAGCAAAAAACAACAAAAAAAAGCACTCAGTTACTAAAGAAGCACAATGCAGAGCTGCATAACTTAAATTTGCATTATAATTTTCAATAAACAGGAATTTTTGCATAGGAATAACTTTGAATCAGTAGCAATTATATTTTATTTTTGCATATTTGTATGAAAAATAACATAATAAACTTAGATCTTAAAATTTCCACGAATAACAACTCAAGTTTGTGTGCTATACCAGAATAGTAATAATCATATCAATGACAACAAAAAACAAAATTTGAGATCTAGCAATAAACTTACTACAATGAGCTTGCTACGTTCAGGAGATATATTTTTGAGACTCAGGGAGTCCCATTGTAGTCAAAGTGCTAAGTATTTGTAAAAATGACACCATTATCCTTCCTACCTCACACAATTCCACAGATTTATGTAAGTGATTATTAATAAAATGTACAAGCATAAGGGGGAAAGAAACTTCATCTTAGATTTTGTGTTGGGGTTGGCTGGGTGACTCAGTGGTTGAGCATCTGCCTTTAGCTTGGAGTGTGATCCTGGAGTTCTGGGATCAAGTGCCCCATGGGGAGCCTGTTTCTCCCTTTGCCTATGTCTCTGCCTCTCTCTCTGTGTCTCTCATGAATAAACAAATAAAATCTAAAAAAAAAAAAAAAAGATTTTGTCTTTATATAGCTTTCTCTCTCCCTTTCTCTCTCTCTCTCTCTCCCTCTTTCTCTTTTTCTTAAAACGTTTTTTTGGAATTTTGTTAGCTTATTGTTTGTTTGCAGTGCAGGCCCATTTGTATATCTAGTGGATGTTAAGGATACTGCCCCTTTGGAAAATGCTAATATTTACCATATTTAGCTCAAGATTTAAAAGCAATTATAAAATCTCCTGAGCCCTATATAGAGAGCTCAGGTCAAGAATTTTTAAATTGCAGATTTTCCTTTGTGGATTAGAACCTTCCTCCCCAACCCAGCAGCTTATTCCTCTTTACTCAGTCAGTTTTCAACGATCTCATCTAGAAGTCTTCTTTTATAGTCATGCTGCTGAGGTGTTTATCCAAGTGGGATTTGGAATTGTATGTCCAATCTTGATGTTTTAGCTCATATCATTCCATAGAATCCTCTGAGATGGAACTAAGTTTTGAAGATGATAGGAGTTAAAATCTTCCACACAGTCAATGTGGACAAATCTGAGAGTTAAAGACTTCATGAAGTCCTAGTTATAGGATGATATCCTTAATGTGTGAGATTTACCTCCAGGAGCTTGATCCAGTCCTCACAGTAAATATCAGAGAAAAATTCTTCACACTTCTGGTAGGGGGAGAAGACAGGAAGAATTTTGAAATATAGCAGAGCATATCATTCTTCTTAACAAAACCTGCCTTCAGGAGAAACCATTTAATCAGAGTCTAACATTCTGGGGTATTACCAGAGCCTAACTGTTCTAGGGGAGGAGAAATACTATAGCCATTCTTTCCCACTTAAGCAGGGAGAAAAAACCTGAGAAAAACTTGTGAAGTTCGTAATCCAGAGACATAGGCTCACTGAAACACTGAAACCCAGTCCTAGAACTGTGGAGTGCTTCTCCTCCCTTCATACCTCCAACTACATTAATAAAGGCCTATTTCATCCAGTCCATCATATCCAGATATCAAGAGAGAATTACAAGACTTGTCGAAAGGCAAAACCACTATTTGAAGAGACAAAGCTAGCATCTGCATCAGATATGACAGGGGTACTGGAATTATCAGAGTAGGAATTTAAAATAACTATGATTAATATGCTAAAGCTCTAATGGATAAAGTAAAGAACAGGTGAGCAATGTTAGAAAAAAGATGGAAATCTAAAAAGAAACCAAAAAGATACACTAGAGATAGATAAAAAAACAAAACAAAACAAAACAAAAACTCTGTAGTAGAAGTGAAGAAGACCTTTGATGAACTTATTAGAACACTGGACATGGCTGAGGGAAAAACATCTGAGCTAGAAGATATATCACAAATCTCCAAGACTGAAAAGTAAAGAGAACAATAACTGAAAAGAAAAACAGAATTGAATATACAAGGGCTGTGGTGAAACATGGCAAAGGGACTTGGCAGATGTGATTGACTTAAGGATCTTGAAGAAGGGAGATTACCCTGAGTTATAGGGGAGGGCCTAATAGAGGGCGGCAGCGAGTGAGGGAGTGAAAGAAAGAGGGGATGTGAGTGTGGAAGCAGAGGTCTTGTGTGTGTGTGTGTGTGTGTGTGTGTGAGAGAGAGAGAGAGAGAGACAGAGACAGAGACAGAGAGAGACAGAGAGACAGAGAGAGGCAGAGAGGGATTGGAAGATGCCTCACTATTAGGTTTGAAAGATAGATGGAGGAAGAAGCCACTAACCTACTAACCAAAGAATGTAATGGTTTCTAGAAGCCAAACAAGGCAGAGAATGGATTCTTCCTTCAAAATCTCCAGAAAATACCATCCCCATCAACACCTTGACTTTAGCCTAGTAAGAATGGTTTTGGATTCCAGATTTTAAGCGAATAAATTTAGGTTGTTTAGACTACCAAGTTTGTGGTAACTTATTACAGCAGCAAAAGGATTCTAACACACTCTCTCAGTATGTCACAGCGTGACGAGGGGCAGCATGGAAGGGCATGGAATATATATTTACACATATATAGCAATTATGAGACGTTGTGAAAACAAGATAAAATAAACTACAAATAATGCTTGTGGCAGCATAGAGTATGAGACTAATTGCCTGCAAGACTAAGAAAAAGCCCAAAGAGGCAATGACATTTGAATTTATTCTTAAGGAGTATCTAATAAATATGTGGTAAAGCATTCTGAGTAAATGAGGTAGCTTAATTAAAGAATGGGCCCATAAAAGCATCTAGAAGACATGAAAGAAAGTAAAAGTTATTAGAAATATTTTTAAAAAACATGTGTGTGTGTGCGTGTCCAACATGTGTATAGTGTGATAGAAAGCAGAAGAGTGGGAGCGGTTGGATCAAAACCAGAGTTAGATTTCTAAGGACTTTGGGTTATATGTCAGGAGATTGAACATTATTTCTTAATAAGAAAAAAATCAAGTTTCTTAACTTACTATTTATTTTTAACTAATTATCTTCTGCCCACCGTCTGAAATGAGAATAATGAAAATCAATGTCCCATTGCTCTACTCTTTGCCATCACTGAGTCCCGCTTCTGGAGGTCAATCACTTCTGCTCTTTCGTGTTTCTTTCAATATTTAACTCAATCATTCTGGATAACGTATTTATGGTGCTGATCTATATTTTTCAGTATCGGTTTTCATAGCTTCCTAAAAAAGGTATATGAAGAGGAAGCTCTCTTACATATATGCCTCCTCCTGCAATACTTCCACTCTAACTAAATTGTAATTTCTTAGAATTAATAGTCACTTGTGATTATATCACATGACTGTACATATCCTCTATAGCTGAACCACTGTACTACAATTACATGTCCTTTCTTTTTTGAAAGCTTTTCTTTTTTTTTTTTTGTCTCAATAGGCTCTCTACCTGATTGAACAACAAGAAAAAAAACTATAAAACTTCTCTTGTAAGGGCAGCACATCAGTTTCTCTCTCTCTCTCTCTCTCTCTCTTTTCTCCTGGGAGACATCCTACCTGAAGGCCTCTAACTTTCTGCTCCAATCTGGACTGGCTGAGCTTTTCTTGTAATACCTTTGTGATTTTATATTTTATCATATAAACTAGGACATACTTGAGAGTGACAACAATGTTTTATTAAAATTATATCAGAACAAGTGTAAACCCGAACTGCCTGGAACTAGCTAGATTCCCTCTGTGTCTTGCTTTTTTATTCTCCAGTTTCTTGTGTTGTGTCTCTTCCTTTTTCTTGGTATTTTCATTTGTTTTTATTTGGTTGTACTCCAGGGTCCTCTGAGAATACTGCATGGGAAAGTACTTCATACTTCAAATTGTGGTTTGCCTTGGTGTAAAATACTTTCTATCAGAATTCTGAAGACATCTCTTCCTACATTTCAGTGTTGATGGGGAGAAGTCTGAGCCATGCGGATACCTTAGTCTTTGTAGTATCTATTTCTCTCTTTCAGGAAGAATTCTGTATCTTTTACCTCTGATATTGTCAAGTATTATTCCTTATAAACTATATTTTTTTTCTCTGAAGGCTTTAAGAATTTTTCTACTTATATATGGTATTCATGTAAGTCATTTTGGTAAGATTTGATGTAAGTTTTTCTTTTTTAAATTAATTCTAGAAGGTAGGGTCATGCAGTAACAAATACCGTACCATTTATTGCACTCCTCATATAGTTCTGTTTCCTCCAGCCACATCAAATTACCTCCTCCTGTTTGTTTTTGACCTACCAATATTTTGATTTGTTGCCATATACCAACATTTTGCTTTCAACTTTTTGCTATTATCACCTCTCCATAGAGGTGGTTATACATTTTCTAAACTCACTTGAGGCCTGTATAGAAGATTTTGAGTGAAGAATAGAGCTTAACAATTGAGTTCAAGCCACCGTTTTAAGCAAAAGCTATCATTATTATTTTAGAAAATTATCTTTGGGACATCATGAAGACAGATAAATTAGGGAAAGAGTAGAACCAGAAAAATTATTTGACCAGCACAGGAAGAAAGTGATGAGAACCTGTGATGGCAATTGTGATAAAAGATTGATTTAGAAACTGTTCCGCTATAGTTGACTGGAGGGAGCTGAAGCTAATCCTAACTCTGCAGTAGAATGAAGGATGTTCGCCCTTGATGAGAAACTGATAATGGTTTTTTAAAGTTCCTAATATCTCTCCCTTCTACCTTTCCTTTCTAATTAAGAGGATAATTCTACAGTACCCAATCATAATTGCATTTATATAGCTTGTGAAAATATAGGACAACTGGAATCATTAGCAAATTCATTTGCTAATAGAATCCCTATAATATACTATAAGCGACTTTAGAAAAGTTTCTGTATATCTCAGGATCATTTCTTCTCCATTTTCTTAAATTAAAACCTTGTGCTCAGTTCGGCAGCATACCTACTAAAATTGGAACTATGCAGAAAAGATTAGCCTGGCCCCTGCGTAAGGATGACATGCAAATTCATGAAGCGTTCTGTATTTTTGATCTAAGACCAAGGAGGCACACAAGCGCTGTGAAGAGCAGCTCCAGGCCAAGAAGGAAGAAATCATCAAGACTCTGTCCAAGGAGGAAGAGGCCAAGAAATAAACTCTCTCTCTTTTATCAGTACATAGTGACCTCAGCAAAAACACAGATCAGTTGTTCCATAAAACAGACTTTTATCTGCCAAAGAAAAGAATTCTTAAGGATTAACTATTGAAGAGTGCAAAAATTGAGAGATGTCCCTTAGGTGATGTCAGTTTGCCTACTTAGAATATTTTGAAGAGATTTTGAAAAGATGTTAATCTCCCATTAGTGTCCCAGTGGACTTAACTAGAGACCAGAAATCCATGACCCACACATCCCATAACAATCTCTCTCCCTTCCTCCTTGTCACTTCTCTCTCTCCTCTTCATTTGTCTTCTTTGTGGCTTTTCTTTATAAAGCATTATGAACAGATGGAGTCATAAAGAGGTAAAATAGAGATAAAACACATTTGTTTATGTGGGGGAATTTTTGACTTAATGGAATTTATTATGAAAAATGGTATGGTTTTGACAAGTTGGTTACATTCACCAGAACTCACTTTCCTTAAAGTCTTGGGTTAGAAGTTGGCCTACATTTGAGAGGCAAAGTGATACAATAGCCTTGAATCTCGAATGATCTTTTAGGTAGGTTTATAAAAGACAGGCATGGAAGTGCCCAGCACGGCAAAGCTTGTTTTTGCTTTCTTTTGTTTTGCCTTCTGGTCTTCCTCCTGTCTTCTAGCCTCACTGACCAACAGCCACTTCAGTGACACCATTGACACCATCGCGCTCTTGGCTGGGACCCACAGAGGCGGTAGCCACACAGAAACAACAGTTTTCCATGGACTTTTCTGCCAGTCTCCTTAACATGCCTTGTATCCCAGATTTCTCTTCAAGGTCTCACTTAACCACATAGACTTTGAGAAGGCTGGTTTTAACTTTTGTTATCTATCTTCCCCTCCAGACCTTTCCTTATCCACCTTTTCCCACAGTGTATAGTGCCTTGTTTCTATTGTAAATTCTTCTTTTATATTAATCAATATACTTTTGCTTCTCTGATATTACACTGAAATAATACCTTCACTCAACCTCATTCTTAAATTCTTTTAAATTATTAAGGTTTTAGCTGGACATGTAATTGCCTGCTAGAAATTATATTTTTTTCATAGCCTCACTTACAACTAGACACTACAACTAAATTTTGCTACGGCAAAAGATGTATAACATTTCTATTTCATTTACTTAAAAGAAGTTAACTTGGTCTCCACATTGTCTTCCTTCTGTCCAATGAGATGGATTATGACACACGGTAACACAAATTTCACCATGTACATGAGTTCCATTTTTGCCCCATGTACAGCAACAAGAAAGAATGCACCCAGGTCACTGAATGCTCTCTGGAACCACGGTATCCTCCCACCAGGTCCCTTACCTCTAGCATGTTATGTGGACATTAATAAAATTATATCCTACTTAAGTGTATTATGGATTCCCTTAGCGAAAGAAACTTAGCCGTACACTAATTACAGGCAATACCACAAAACTCTAGTGACTTTTATGGCTTTTCTGTGGAGCTGTTCAAACATTCTCATGCTGATACTTTTCTTCCACTAGTCCTTCCTCTGTGAGCGCCCAGGCATGCGGGCACACATGAACGGATAAAGACCAACTTACAGATGAACACGTATGTCAACTACAGAGAGATAGGCAAAAAGTCAGGGACCAAGGTAGAGGTTATATTAGAACCAGGTAGGCATGGACCAGACATTTAGCCCAACGCTTTGGCTAGTCTTTCCCGATGAAATAAGCTATTTTTACCAAGGACTGTTAAGTTTCTCCAAGAAAGCTCATTCTGCATAGATTTCCTTGATCACACTGGAGCTAGGCTAGTATCATGATCAAAGTATTTTTTTAAATAGTGTACTTTCAATAGATATGCATTTATTTCTTAGTTTTCATAGCCTTGGTTATACAAGTACTCATTGTTCATTTGTATTTGGTTTAAAGTTCAGAAGAGACTTGTTTTCAAGGAAGAAAGACTGTCAATTCGAGTTTGAGTTAAAGCCAAGTTTTCCAAGTGACAAACTTGCTGGCAGCAAACTCAACAGCAGAAAGTACATCCTAGAGCAGGAGAAAGCCTCCCTCTCTGTCTTTAGGATGAACACCCAGTGACTGTGCTGTCTATACATAAAGCAGTAAGGAAAACAAAATAGAGGATATGATCTTAAAAATAAAGAGCGAAGTAGTGCAGGAGACCCAGATTTCTATTACACAAATCTTTGACCGCACATGAGTTGAAGTCATATGCAAAAAAATCTAGATTATTAGAAATTGTGGCTAGAGCTGCAGAAGTCATCAAGCACGCCTGGAGATAGTGGCAAAACCATGGGTAACATAGGATTGACGCTCGTGAAGAGACAAGAAAGATAAGCCGTTGAAGCGAGTCCACCAAGCATGAGACGCGTACACTTCACATTAAATAGACTCGAAACACTAGAATGCACCGAGTGGCTAAAATAATTAAAAAGAAGCAATTGAGATGTAAAGACGAAGGTGAATGCTCTCAGTGAAAGCAGTGCAGCATTCATTCTCGCAGCCAAGGATGCACAGAAGGTTCTGTCCTGAGAGAAGGAGCTTTGCGCCAGGCCTTCACTCAGGGCTGCCTAGCAACCAGCTCTTCTAGGAGGGCAGTGCATAAGTTAATCTCTTTGGTAAGCATTTGTAGCTATTAATTTAATTAGCAAAAGCAGCGTAGCATGAATGATCCTGGTGCAATAGCAAAATATTAATGAAGATTTTGAAATTCTAACCTTGAATAGGCACATTGGAGACTGTTCCCTAGTCACACTGGGCCAAGGGAAACTCATTTAAAAATAAAAGTATCGCAGAAAACTTTTTCCTTCTGAGTTAGGTTCTATGGGCTTCCAGAAAGAGACTACAATTTAAATTTTCTTCTCTCTTCTCGTTGCACAGACACTTACCGTCTGGCTTTGAAAATGAGACTCAACGAGGTTTTTCTAACTCTAAAATTCTTTTTTTTTTTTTAAAGTTAGTTTAAAATTTTATTTTTTTTAAATTTTTTTTTAGACTCTAAAATTCTTTGAATCCCAAATGCCTCTCCCACAATATCCTGGTTTTAATTGTACTATTCCTTAGAAGACCTGTGGTTTTACCAACATAACTGTCTTCAAGGCAATCTGTGTTGGGTACCTTTCAAAGGCTATTAATGCTCCTCTCGTTAGCTGGCTAGAAGGGCAACTGTTCAGTGATAACAAGAAATGTTTTAGGGCTTTGACTCTAAGGCTGAGTCTTCTGTCCCCACAAGACTCCTGCCCAGACCTCTTCATTTCAGTTTAATAAAAGACAGTTGTGTTTCAGATGTTTCAGAAAGTCAAGTTCCATTAAAAGCGGATCACCTAGCATTTTATGTACTTTCTAACAACTTTTTCTTCTGGCAAAATGCTTTAATGGGATACTGGATCTTGACCTTGCAAAAAAAGAGGAAAAAAAAAAAATGTGTGATAAAGCTTAAATGTTGTCTCAGGCTTTAAGGACGATACACTGGAAAAAAAAATTAAAACCTCCAAAATCCTTCTTTGGCTCCTCTTTCATCTTTTTCTAATGGAAGAGTGGAATTCAGTAATATTCTAGTTTCTGCAAAGTAAACCAATAATCTGCTTATTTCTTCTTTGTCTACTACTACAAGAATGAGGCCCATTCCATTTTATAAGATGATCTAAGTTAAAAAATTAGTTGTGTAGGATACTTGTGAACTGCTTATGAACAGGGTCAAGGATGTTAAATGCCTGGAGAAAAATCTTAAGTCAAAAAGAAAGGGAAAAACAACCATTTCAGTAGCAGAGATGGTTCTTTAAAATCATAAGATCGATGCATTACCTCCGAAAATTTAGCTTTTCGAAGACAGGAAGGAAATAGGTGCGTGTGTTTATGTCTTTATGTGTGTATGTGTGCATCCTAATTCCTAACTCTACGAGTATGTTTAGAATAGAGTTATTTAATTGGAACTCACCTGGCTTCAATTCTTTACTTACTAACAATATATAAGAAAAGAAACAGAGGCATTGAGGCAAATAATTCAGTGTTTTTCAGGCACTCGTTTGGCCAAAAGGAACAATTAAATGAACTGATTTTTTGAAATTGTGAATCCAAAGTAAAATTCTTATCAAGACATGGATCTGACCGGCCACTTAATGTCTTGCTCCTCCAACTGTGATGTTGGGTCAGTAACCTCAGCAACACATGGGAATAGTTGAAATGAAAATCACTGGCCCCTCTTGATATCTAAGGAATCAGAGATTCTAGGGGTAGGGTTTAGTAATCTGTATTCTAAGAAGTTATCCAGGTACTATGCTGAGGTTGAAAGCACTATTTTGATCTATCATGTGATAATATGCCATACATCTCTCCAATAAAAGTTTCTTTATCCCAATAGCCTGGTAACTATTATAATAATCTTGTTACTTCTGGTAGGTTATATTGAAAATATTTTTAAAAATATTGTTCTTATTTTATTTTTCTATTAGTGAAATTAAAAAAAAACTACAAAATTCCCACATATTCACAAGTTTAGAGAAAAAGAATTTTTTTTAAAGATTTTATTTATTTGAGAGAGAGAGAGAGAGAGAGAGACAGAGATAGAGAGACCATGAGTGGTGAAGAGAGGGAGAAGCAAGCTCCCTACGGAGCAGGGAGCCCAATGTGGGGCTCCATCCCAGGACCCTGGGATCATGACCTGAGCCAAAGGCAGACACTTAACTGACTGAGTCACCCAAGCGCCCCAAGAAAAACTATTTTTAAAAATGGCAGAAAAGGGATCCCTGGGTGGCGCAGCGGTTTAGCACCTGCCTTTGGCCCAGGGCGCGATCCTGGAGACCCGGGATCGAATCCCACGTCGGGCTCCCGGTGCATGGAGCCTGCTTCTCCCTCTGCCTGTGTCTCTGCCTCTCTCTCTCTCTCT